TAGCATAAAGCTGATGGTATGTTAACAAACGCACACGAGGTGCTGGGTAATGGAGGTCGAAAATTTTCCAAAATTATTTTGTCGTAATGTAGCCCTTTCGGAAGCAGAAATTAATATAGTTGGCAGTGTTTTGTTGGGTGTGGAAATTTGTTTATTTGAGCGATAACGCGCATTGTTTAAGGAGGAAAGATTCTTTTACGCTCAGAAATAAAGTTGTTTAATTTCGAAAATATACTAGTTGTGTAAATGGCAATAACGTTTTTCGTAGTAAACTCATGGGCATGTGCCTTGGACAACAGTTGTACGGAAGATTAAGTTATCAAGCTATAGTAGTTTTTTTCATTTAACATTCGAATATTGTGACAAACGGGGACTTTAAACATGGCCTCATCGTTTTGAGCAACATCTCGAAATCCTCAAATATCTCGAACATTTAGGTTAAGAAGGGGGGTGTAAGAAGGGGGGGGGTGAATAGGGGTCTCCGAATCCGCCGATCCGCTCATTTTTTTTCTAAAATCCGCCGATCCGCGCAAAATTTTGCTGTAAATCATGATAGCAAGCGATAATAAGAAAATCATAAATTCCTGCTAATTCAAGACCCGCTGACGCCATATTTGCCATAATAAAGCTAAGAGAAGACGTTTCCACACAGCGCAGAGTCTCTTAGGGACTTCTTACGATATTTACGAGATTTTCGTCGGCAATCGGCAAAATTCGCAGTCACGATTATCGGCATTATAGAATCCGAAATCCGACGTTAAATTTTCTTTAAATCCGTGATCCGTGATCCGCGTTCCATTTTAGGCCCAGATCCGCCGGTCCGAAAACCTATCCCCCCCCCCCTTAAGATTTTATTCAAACATTGTCAGTATGTCAATTATGTTATTAAGAAATGATTCTGAAAATTTTATTACTATCTCTGCGATGAGTTTTGAGAAAATTAACTTTGAAGAAAATGTTTATTTTTCATCGTTTTTTTTTACAAATTAATTTATCAACAAAAATAACGATAATCACTGTTACTTCTGTGCAAATTTGAGTGCAATCGAATCGAAATTTGCGACGTAGTTGGAGTTTAAAAATACGCGCGAAGCGCTATAAATTAAAGTGTTTGCGAAAGTTTTAAAATCTCTTTTAACTGTTATAGGCTCTCTACACGCAGCTGTTTACAATTCTAATTTAAAATCAATTGGACAACTGCATTCTAACAATACAAACTCTGCAAGATCATTTGGCTGTATGTCTTCATCAAGTACTGTACCGAAATTTCTGAGGGTCTCTGGTACACCCAATTTGAAGTTTATTATGACTGTTTCCTTCGTTCATCAGCCAATGAATGTACATTATGAAGGAAATAATTCATATATGCAGTTCAACAATTCACAGTTGCTGTATATCCTTCCAAGTCCAACATCCCCAAGCGCTCAACTTGATATCGCCGTTAAGTCAGATAGCAAAGGTGAAGGTGTTCTAAGAGTTTCGCGCTACTGTGASCAAGCCATGAAATCTGGAGAAATTCATGACAAGAAGCCAGCTCTGTTTCTAACGTTTGAAAAACGAGGCCTGATTACCATTTCCAAAGTCTCCCGCCCAGCGTTCAGTACGTCAGAGCCACTGTACGTGTTTGTCAGCGTTCCTGAACGCAAAACGTATTCCATTGAAGTCAAGACGTCATTTGGTTATAACTACCTACCTATTCTGTGGATTACATTGATATCTGTCATCGGTGGGCTGGATGTCACATTTTTGGCGCTTTGTTCGTTTTTTGATGTGCTGAAGATAAAATTGCAGACTGTCAAAATGTTATTCAAATATTGGAGACACGTTAATGAGCTTCGGCCATTTTCTTATACAACCTGTATCGTTGGGTGCGTGTTAGTTGTCGGAGGGCTACAGTTTGCACATCTTCGCTGGGAAACGATGATCGAGACTGGTAACAGGGATAGGTGTTTCTACAATGACCTGTGCTATCGTGTTAGTCCTTGGCACGATTTACCGCTCAATCTTATGATGAGCAACATCCCATACGTCGTGCACGGGCTGATGCTTGCTCTCGCGCTGTTTGGAATGGAACTTCACTTCATTTACAAAGCTAGAGCTGATGCATTGAGGGAGTGTGGTGCGATGGGTTCTGTACAAGCTCGAATTCGAGGTAATATACAGCGACAGCTTCACCAGGAGAGATTACCTCAACACGCACTTGAATGCAGCGACTTGAATCTCCATTTACCAGAGTTGACGATGCCTCCGTTGCACGGCGACCACAATCGTCTTGTCGAGCTTACCACGTACGCTTACAAGAGGAAATACAACTTTTCAATTGGCTATGCCTTCGCCTGGGCCCTCGTCTTTGAAGGGGTCTTCTCCACCGTCTACCATCTTTGCCCTTCTCGTGCCACCTTTCAGCTCGACACAGCGTTCATGTTTGTCATTTGCGGGATGATAATAGTCTCGTTGTTTAATGGGTTATCGGATGTGGTTGGAAGTCACGATAGAAAACCAATCGGCAACAATAACTTCTTTCTTGCTGTGATAGTTCCTCTTTACCTCTTCAACTACCTTGGTTTTGTTTACAACGAGTTTAAAAGGAGCTCATCTTTTGATGTCGCCTTCATTGCCCTGTTGGTCATCTGGTTCATCGCAATGACAGTCTGGTCCTTTTATAAACTTGCCATCTTCAAGAGCTTTAAGTGCGAGGACTTTAAATTGGACTTGTTCAAAATAATCGTGTTTCTGATCGCAATTGGGGCGAATGTGTTAATTCTGTCCTTTATGCGACATGATTTCTCCCAGGCGTTCTTGTTTTCGAGTATTTTCACTGCCATCATCAGTGTGGTTGCAAAATGTGAAAAAAACGTCATCAAATGCCTTACCTTCATCGTCAAGTGTTTAACTTGCCCTTGTTTCTGCATCATCAAGTGTATTTGTTATTTCTGTTGCCCAGAAGAGTGTCATTGTGACCTCCCAGAATTCGAAGAAGAACGACATCGGGATCAAGGTCGTTTGCCTAAGATAATCTGGGCACTTCGTTTTATCTACGTGCTTGCCTTGGCGGTATTAATCTTTTCAGCATTATACGTGTTTGAAGACCTTGCAACAACGCAGAAGACAGACACTCCAGCCCAATCTCGAAATCTCAACAAAGAATGCGTTTGGATCTCTTTCTTCGATTGGCATGATATTTGGCATTTGCTTTCATCGTTTGCTTTGCTAATGGGCGTGTTTCCTCTCATGTACATTAGCAAATGACTGCTTTTGTCAGGACCTTAACTAGCAAGATACCTAGTATCTTGTAAGCGAAAAACTTCAGTGTAAGAAATGAGAAAATGGATAATATAGCTAGAGGGCTAGGAGTATATCAATGTAGACTTCAATATGCATGAATTGATACTTATATGTTATATCCTGTAAACTGCGTTGTTAACTTAGTACACTGCTATCTTTTGAATTATTAATTGTCGAATAATAGCGAAGAACAGCAGAATGGGAATTCTGTGTCGTTTTTACTGGGGAAGGAAAAGCTACTGTAAAGAACCGGAAAGTCAAACGGCCAATGATTCTTGCCGTATATGTGAAATAGATTGCGCTAGAATTGTACAAATTTGTACAAAATCATTTGTACAACTTTGACAATATAATTCAAAATACTTGCAAACCTTTTAAAATCTTGCGTTAGGTCTTATTTTCATGGCATCTTTTTTGTATGTAATATCGACTTACAACCTKCATATTAAATTGGATTATGTGGTATTATGTTGATATCATGATTTTGTGTTTTTCGTGTGTATGAATGATATACCAAGTGCTAGAAACATACTGGAGTTTTCTAGCGATGACGATAAACTGACCTTAACTTGCTTTTTTCGTTGGGAATGTTCGTGGCTCAGCTTGCAGCTGACACTAAATCAAATATCAAATCTCTCAATTTACCTCAATTTCATTTCCACTTTAAATTTCATTCGGTTCTAGCAACCTTCAATGTGTAATTGTAATTAAAAATATACCGTGATGGATAATTCACGGTAGATTTCAAATGCAAAGAAAGTTGTTACCTTAGATCTTGAATGATTTGCATGAATGTTGAGCTTCACACATCAGGAGATGGTCAGAGCATCGTCGGGTAGGGCTTTTGTTACTTGAGAAAATTATTTTAACAGTTTTCACGAAAATAGATTGCGGCGGAGACTGGAGTAGTATGGTAGGGACTGAATTCTCCTAGCGAGGAGAAGGGTTATCACAATGAATTTATTATATCAAGATTGTAATTTTATATGTCTATTTAGCTACATTGATCTATCATATTCTTGAGGAGGCTTTTCCACGGGTATTCAGTTTGTACTTTGTACTTTGCTTTGTTGCCAGTTTGTTTCACAAAATGGCGCAGCTGCGGCACAACGTCTATTAAGCGTCTCTATGTAACGACCGCCGGCCTAAGATAGAGTAAGACTGATATAACACTGAGTAAAGTACAAAGGGGCGACTAAAGTTACAGGCCCGTAGGCTGCCTTACAAACGGGTAGGGGGGGAGGGTCCGTTTTTTATAATGCCGGACCTAAATGAAATGTTTAACTAAATTATAGCTCAATGCACAGGTATAGTTTGTAAAAACCAGTGGTTGCTAGAATGACTTCTAGTTCATAATAAAATACTAGCTCAAAAACAGTTCATAACAAAAGAATTTTAAAATAGAAAAAAGAGAAACATCGGTGCCTTTTAAGCCTGAAAAGGTTATTCTTTCAGACAGTAAATCTATGTAAGGACATGCTCAATGTGTAAGGATCGTTCTGGTTTGCCACTCGTTTATTCCTGGTTCTCACGTACAGTAATTACAAAACTATGGTTATTAATGTGTTCGGCGCAAGATGAGGCTGAAGAAGGTCGACCAGAAAGACTTTCCGCTGTCGGAGTGCTTGTTTAGTAGGGCTTCCAAACTCAAGCACTTTCCATACTTTGGTCTGTACTTTCCAATACGATCTAGACTACAACCCCAGTCTTGGCCCGTAATAGGTACAATGAGATGAGTAGTGTGTTTCGAGTGCTATAACGTCAGTCCTTTTATAATTCTAACCTAATCCAATATCCTGTTTCCATCAAATGCTAGTCAAAACTAAAACGATGGTGGTCTTAACTATAGGAGGTTGTACCACACATGAAACTACATATAACTAACATTAGTCAAAACAGTCTATGTCTCTGATATCAACATTTATCGAAAAATACAAGGTCATGAGAAATTCAAATAATAAATCTCTCAAATTCTGTTATCTAACATCTACATCAAAACCAAACCACAAAGGCCTAGATCTGCTTTACTTAGATAGCAATGATACATTTCTATATGTATTATTATTATTATTATTTTTAGTCTCCAACACTTCTCTGGATACACTATGCTATATTGCTCAGTGTGTGTTTTTCAAACCATGTTGCTAAGCAATAAACAAAACAAAAAATGGAGTCACATAATAAATTTTGCATATGTTTTTTTTACGGAAAAGAAAGAAAGCACTCTGTTTATCTCCCCTGCATGCAGGTCTAGCTTATAGAGGAAGAATTAGAAAAAGATGATTGTATTCGCAGCAGAGTAAACATGACCATATATAGAATATACAGACGCCCTCTTCCACAATTAAAGAAGGCCCCTCAGGGTGATTAGCAAAAAAAGTTTATATTCTAATATATGCAGCTGTTCCGGGAATTGTATGAATGCAGCAATAAGATTTTGAATATTTTTCGGGCAGCCGCGTCCAAAGACATCTACAACWWCGAAGACGCTTCATTATTTTCCAATTTTTGCGATGTTCCGTGGTGTGATACTTTGCGTTCTATTMGCATACAACATTGTAATACTGGTAGAGGGTGTTTCCCAACCACCAATAAKGTGTACCTCGAAGTTTTCCTCTTTGTTTATGAATCAAACAGCGACAACGTTTTTTGTAAAAGGTACAATTCCTAGTGATTTCACCCTTAAGTCGTACGTCTGCCACTTTGTTTATGAATCAAACAGCGACAACGTTTTTTGTAAAAGGTACAATTCCTAGTGATTTCACCCTTAAGTCGTACGTCTGCCAGTTGCCCCAGTCTCCTCGAATTTCAGCATCGTTTGTATCCATGCAATCAAATCAAGAACAACCAGGTAAGATAGTTGAAT